CTCCTCCTTCAAGGAGGGGTTTACCCCTCCCACTAACCCCCTCCCCTGGACTTGGACGGGGGGCGGCCGCTGGCAGTTAGAGCGTCCAAAACGGCCTCGGCGAGGGCGCCAAAATCATCGGTTTTACCAAGGTTTTGGCCCCATTTTGGCCTCTTGGGGGGGCAGGGCGAATTAACCCCACCCTCTTCTTTGATCTATCTCCTCCAAGAAGGCCCCAAGAGGCGCCCAGGTGGCCTCAAGAGGCTTCCAGAAGCCCTCCAAGAGGCCCCAACAGGCCGCCATGAGGCCCCAAGAAGCCCCCACGAGGCTCCAAGAGGCTCCCAGGGGCCTCAAGAGACCCCCCCGAAGCACCTAAGACGCCCAAGAGCCCCCATTGACCGCCAAAAGACCCCCAAGACGTCCGAAGAGGCTTCCAAAAGGCTTCCAAGAGGCATCCGAGCGGCATTAAACCATCCACCCAGCGCCATCATTCTCCTCATCCCTCCTTCGCTCGGTTCCTCGCCACCCCCTCATCTATCCATCTGGCCTCCTCTTCCGCCTCATCCTTTGCACGGATCGGCTGTCCCTCTCGTTGCCCCCCACTTCCCTGATCTCTTCAACTTGCCTGGACATCGTTTCTGGATGGGCTGGCGGGGACACGCGAAGCGTCAATGATTCCTCGAAGGTTTGTTCTGAGCCGATGGCCTTGGCGACTTTGCGTTCGAGCATATCGCCTGCAATCAACTCCGACTCCTCGCCAGAGGACCAGACCTCGGGGGTAGGTGGGGGCGACTTCAGCAAGCGAGAACGCTCGACCGGCTCGGCGGGGGAGATCTCCTCGCCGTCGCACGAGGTCTCCACGTGCATCAGCTCGACCTACCAATCAATTCATCTCGGGGATGGCGCCCTCGCGCCGCCGTGAGAAAACGCGCGCCTCGGGCACCGGGCGGCGCGAGTCTCGCAGCAAAATGGCGGTGGGTCTCGACTGAGGGGCGACGCCCCATCTGCGGGCGCAGCGGTAGTTCAAGCTCTCCGCCCGCGACGGCGCTGAAACAGCTAAACTCCTCAGGCGTCGCGCCGAGGAGCCCGCTGCCAACCGCTTTGCGGCCTCCGCGGCCAGGGGTGCCGGCGGGTAGACGCCGGGCGATCGGCGGCGGCAGAAGCTCGCGCCGTTCTCCCCGATCGGTCATTGGGAGGCGACGCTGCGCGGCCGCGGTCGGCGTCCTGGCGATCGACCCCCGCGCCCGAATAAAAAGAAAACGCAGGTGGAGAATGTCGCGGAACTCGTGGCGCAGCATCTGCAATGCCACCTTCCCCAGCACGCCGCCGACGACGAGGCGGGGTGCGAGGATGCGGCGACAGACGAATCCGATCGGCCGCCCTCTGCGCCGACCTCGATGAGAGGCCGCGGATCATGCGCAGTCAATTGGGCTTTGGGCGCGTCGCCTAGCGACGTGCCGGAGCCGCGCCCCTGCCCTGGCCCTTGCCGCGGCACGCGGACATCTGCCCCTTGCCATTCCCCTTTCGGGAGATTGCCCTCACCTGTGGGGCCCCTCTTGCACGAGCCCTTTTTGCTCTGATTCGGGAACTCCCCCCCATGCGAAGCGGGGCCCCCTCGCGGCGCCGCGTCGCCCGCGAAGCGCGCTCGCCGGCTCGGCCGCCCGCGGTCGACGGCGGCCGCGACGCGAGGCGAAATCGGCGCCGCTGCCGCCGCCTGCGACTCCCCCTGAGGTTCCCCTTCAGCTGCGTCCTGCGGTGGCTGCTCCACAGCAATTTCTCGCGCGATTCGCGCGCCCGTGGAGGGGGCCCTGCTTCGGGGTGTCGCTCTTGGCGGGGAACTGGCAAGCATCTGGAGATGGCCGTCGAGATGGGGGAGTCTGGGGCTGACCTCTCTCCTTTCGGTCAGACCCCTACCCCTGGCTTGCCTTGGCCTTGGGCGCGCTCTACCGCGGGTTGCGATACTTCCCGCAGCGCGCAGCGGCGTCGTGGACATCCGGCTGCAGCGCGAGTCCGTCTCCGAGCTCGTCGCGGAGCACCATGTGCTGGGCCGCCTACCAACGCCCGCCCTTCGCGGCCTGCTCGATTGCCATCGGCCGTTGCATCAAGAGAGGCCCCCAAGGTGTCCAGCCCCCCGCGCGCAAGCGAGCCCATGCGCTCTCCGACGGTTCGCATCTCGCACGCGTTGCGAACTCTGGTCTTGCTTTGAGGACGGCGTCCGTGCTGCGCGCTCGCGATGCACTGCGTCGCCGAGGTTGCCAGCCCGCTCGGGCTCTCTCCTGAGGCCATCCTTGCGCGCCGCGCTCGATTGCGCTGGGTCGCCTCCATCCCGCTCGGGAGCAACGCTCCTGGAACTTCGCGGGTGAGGTGGGCTATCTGACGGCCTGGTTCGACGTGTGAGGCGTCGGGAAAAATAGGCTCGGACTCGCTGTCGTCGCGACCACCTCTCCGGCTCTTGGCACGGCGACCGCGGCCGCCCAACAACGCAATTTCCGCCCTCTCTGCCGGGACTTCGCCAAATCCTCGACGTCGACGCGGCCGATGCTTCAGCTCACATACGCTCTCTCTGAGGTCGGTGGCCCGCGATGCCGTCGGGAGCAGCTCCTCCTGCCGCTGCTCCTGGGCCCCCGCCAGCAGCAGAAGCTCGTGCGGGAGGCGAAAGGTGGCGGGTGGCCTCGATGTGGAGCACCGACCGCTGGGGCCAGTGCACCTGGCCTGCGTGCACTCCCGCGGGCTGAGTGCACAGGTGCAGCACAGCGCCGCAAAGGCTGGTGAAGCTGCCAACCAGTATCGGCCACGCACACTGATTGTTGCAGCCCACGAGCGTGCGCTCAACGGAGCACCCGAGCCCATCGCCTGGCCAGACGCCGCCCCGACGATGGTAGACCATCGGCGCCGACGGCCCGTGGACCCACGGGCCCGAGCCGCCTGGGGGATCTCCGATATATATATATATATATATATATATATGGGCCGAGGCACCGCCGCCTCGGCGGGGGGCCAGCCCAACCGCCCTCCACCGCTGGGCGCGCCAGCCGCAGCACCGACAGGGCAACCCTGTGGGCCCTGCGCGCCGAGGGGGGCGCCGCCTGGAGCAGGCGCCCAGGCTCCCACTCTTCCGAATCCTCCGATGCCCAGGGCGCATGGGACGGGGCCGCAGGGCTGCTGGCCAGGCGGGCCGCCGCCATGCTGAGGCGGGAACCTTGCGGCGGTTCCGCCCGAGCCAACCACGGCCAGCGCGCGCTCTCCAAGGGGGGGGGTGGCGGCACCAGCCCAGCGGCTGTTCCAACACAGCCAACCACGGGTCCAGCAGCCACTGCAGGTGCCTGCAGCGGGGGCGGCGCGGTGGCAGCCAGCGGCGCGGGCGCTCCAGCGCCTCGCCCTGCGACGGGCACGGCGGCAGCTCCCAGCGCGCCCATCGCCCCTCCAGCGGCGATGGCAACGGCGACGGGGCCTGCGGCCGCGGCGGGTGGCCGGGTTCCTAACCGTCCGCGGCCTCCGCCTCGGGCGCCGCCTCTGCCGCGAGCGCCGCATCCTGCTGCAGCAGGGCTGGCGGCGGGGGCTGCAAACGACAACCCGGGCGCCACGGCGGCGGGCGGCACGGCTGCCGCCTTGCCTGGCGCTGCGCATTCCTTGGCCTTCGCCTGTGCCTTTGGTTTGGGAGGGGCTGAGAGCGCGGCCGCGGCCCCCGCGGTCAACGCGGCGACGCCGCCCACTGCGCCGCCCGTGGCAGCCGTCATCCACCAGCTCAAGCGGCTCCGCGCAGCTCCATGTCAGAGGCGGGCGGCGGAGCTCCTTCGATGGAGAGCGTGAGGCGCAGCCCCGAGGGGTTGCTGCCGCGCTCCCGCGGACCGCCCAACTCCTCCGACTCTCACCCCGGGGTCCCGCAGGGTGAGGTCGGCCTGGGCACAAAGCTGTACCGAGAAGGCAGGAGCGCAGACGGGAGAGCGCAATGGAACGGGGCTGTGAAACACAGGACATAAGACATGATATTCTGGATGTTCAATGCTCTATTTCGTAAGTTGTAGTGAGTGAGAACCGCGCGAGGGAGGGGGAGCCCGAACAAGGCTTATTGCCTACACCCGAACCAAGAGATCATACGTTATTTGCGCACACGTAAACTTGTACAGATTCGTGTTATCGAGGCCGCACACCCGTGAAAATTTGGACACAATCACGCTTCCGCCGCCACAGCCCGTGGTAAATTACAACGATGTCGCGCTCCGGAGGCCACAACCGGTGATGACGTAGGAGCGCAAAACACATCACGGCAACATGGGGTATCGTGTTGGCTGCGAGTAAACCTTACGCACACGAAATAATTCAAGGTTCAGTGCGATATGCTTATGCCAAGCCCCCAGCTTGGAGGGCATCGGCCCTGGAGAAGGGCCTTGAGCAAAAAAGGATACGGGCCCTTTCGGCAGCTGGGTGGGCAATCGGAGGATCAGAATTCCGACGTGACGGTGGGCACAAGGCACCTTTGGCCACGGCCTTCAACAAGAGGTATGGCGACCGCGATCCCCAAATTGTTCGAATGGCCGAATGGTGCCGTCGATTTGGTTTGGGCCGTACTGGGGGACCTACTCCTGGGGGGGGCGTCAATCCTGCACAGGTGTGCGTCGGGCCAGCCCACAACGCTGTGATCCTGACCTTCTGGGGTGCGCATGTCCGAATCGATTGGCTTCCGGCACGGAAAACTTTCGGGGAGACTCAGAGATTGAGGGCGATAACTTGCAAGCGATCCGAACAACGGCGGCGAACCTAGGGGGGGAAGTGAGAGGGCAGGCCAAGACGAGGGAGCTTCTCAGAAGCCCTTGCACCTTCTCAGAAGCCATCTGTGGTTCCAGAGAAAGGTCACACGGATTCTCAGAAGGCGCGAGGACTTCTGAGAAGCCCCGCCGCCTTCTGAGAAGGTTTGCCCCCTCTCACGTCCCCCCAGAGCTCGCCACCGAGATCAAATCCGAGGGCGAACGGCGCCCTGGATCATATCAGCTGGCGGTCCAAAGGCCAATTAAGAGGCGCGCGATGCCGGCCTTCGCCACGCTCACCGTCTGCTGCTCCATTGCCTGCACACTGCTCCACACTCTTCTCCTCCTCCTTCTCCTCCACCTCCTCCCACGCACTCATCCTCCGTCTACTGTGCTCCTCCTTCTCTTCGTTCTCATCCTTCGACTCCTCCTCCTCCTCCTCCTCCTCCTCCTCCTCCTCCTCTTCCTCTACCTCGCTCTCCTCCTGCTGCTACTGCTGCCGCTGCCTCCTCATCCTTCTCATACTGCTGGTTGGAGGGTTCAAAGGGGAGGGGACAGAAAGAGAAAGAGAAACGATGAGCGAGGAGGAGAAAGAACACGAAAGGGAAGGAGGGCAGAAGGAGGGATCAAGGGATCGTCATCCCTGATCTCCCCCTCTTCCGCTCTTCAGCCTCCCTCTCCCTCCCTCCCTCCCTCTCTTCCTCCCACCGCCACTACGGTCCCATAATCCAGAAAACCTTCTATAGTCATTTTGATCATCCGAATGCCCTTCTACCCCCCTTCTTCCCTTCCCCGTCATGCTCGTCCTCCTCCACCTCTTGGCCCCTCTTATGATGGAGACAGGGGATCGCACTTGAGGGCAGACGGAGGATGATGAGGGGGAGGAGGCTGGGGGAGGCTGGGGGAGGACAGAGGTGATATGGACAAACCAGGTGCACTTGCGGTACACCTGACACCCTACCCCTTGGCCGCTGGCTCCCGCGCAGGAACCGGAACACCCCCCACATCATCATCACGATCACTGGTATCACCATCATAATGACCACCATCACCATCCTCGTCACCACCACCATCACCATCACCATCACCATCACAATCATCAACATCCTCATCATCCTCACCACTAACAACAATCCTCATCCGCCACCGTGCAGCTGGGCACGGGGTGGGCGTGACAACATGTCCTGGGCCCAATCCTCTACGCCTCAAACATCACTCCTGAGGAATATTGAAAATGCCAGGACCCCAGATTCGCAAATCTCCTGGGGCTTACCGCGTGCCCCCTGGGGTTTCACGCGTGCCCCCCGTGTTCCCTGAAGTGTTGTCGCATGAATGTATCGGGCCCACGAGGGCCCCAAGACGAGCCAAGAGGCCTTCAAGACGCCCAAAGAGGCCTCCAAGAGGCCTCCCAGGAGGGCCCAGAGAGGCCGAAGGATTTTGGCGTTCTCATCTTTTCGGCTTCCCGACGCTCCCAGATGGCCCAAGAGACCCCACGACCGCCCCAAGACGGCCCAAGACGCCCCGAAGACCACCCCCAAACGGAACGGCTCAAGAGGGCCCCAAGACGGCCCAAGAGGTGCCAAAAACGGCCCACGAGGACCCCAAGACGGCCCCAGAAGGGCACAAAAGAGGGAACTCGAAACAAAAAATCGGAGCATTCCGCCACAAGAGAGGGGCCCCCAAGAGGCCACAAGACGCCTTGAAGAGGTCCCAGTGTCCCCCAAAGCCCCCACGAGGCGTCCAAACTGCCTCCAAGAGGCCCTCGAGAGGCCTCCAACAAGATCCCACAGAAGATCCAATATGCTTCATACCCACAACCCAGGCACAGTGGCAGGATGGGCTGGAGGCCATTAGATGTTCACCATCATCATCAGCAGCAGCAGCCGCTGCATCATTATTATCAGCATGATTACCACCACCATCACCATCACCATCACCATCATCATCATGAGGTTCATCTCCATCACACACCATCACCATCATCAGAACCACCACCATCATCATCATGATCAGCATAATCACCATCATCTTCAGTGTCATCCTCCTAGTCATCACACTCGTCACCATCCGCATCTTCCTCATCATCTGTTTCCAACCCAGTACCATCCTCATCAGCATGCTCATCATAAGAATCACCATCACCACAACCAGCACCATCGCAATCACCATGATCATCATCATCACCATCATCAATATCGTGGTTGCCATCACATACGAACATATGCATACATAGATTGTATGTGTGCATGTGTAAGTATAGGTTTATATATACACATATATATGTTCATCTGGACGTCTCGAGCGGGAGCCACGTCAATGGGTGAATGGCGAAGAAATCGCAAGCGGGAACGCCACCCCATTGATCCCGTACTTCATGTGAATGATCTGAGCGGGTAGTCCAAACCGTGTAGCGGTCGTCACGCTTGGGCTTCTGGTGCCTGCCTGGGTCAGGAGGAGGCCTCGAGCCGGAGCCTCGTCAATGAGCGGATCGCGGGGAAGTCTGCGACGGGTTCGAGAGGAAGCCTCGTCTGTGAGTGCATCGCCAGGCAAACTCAGGCGGGTGCCTCTACCTAGTACGCCCGCACTTCATATGAGTGTTCCGACCGGGTCATACATGAGGGCCCCTGATGCTCGAGTCAGGAGGAGGCCTCGGGCGGGAGCCTCGTCAATAAGTGGATCGCGGGGAAGCCTGCGGCGGGCTGGAGCGGGAACCCCGTCTGAGAGTGAATCGCGGGGAAGTCTGTGGCGAGCTCGAGCGGACGTCTCCTATGTGAGTGGATCGCGGGGATATCTCAGGCGGGAGCCCCTGCCGATTGCGTCCGCATTTCATGTTAGCAATCCGCGCGGGTCACCCAAGTCTTGTATCTATCGCCACTATTGGGCTCTGGATGCTTGAGTGAGGACGTCTCGAGCGGGAGCCCCGTAAGCGAGTCGATCGCGGCAAAGTCTACGGCGGCCTCGAGCGGGAGCCCCGTCTGTGCGTGAATCGCGGGAATGTCTTCGGCGGGCTCGAGCGGACGCCTCGTCGGTAAGCGAATCTCGAGGACATCTCAGGTGGGAGACCCTCCCTGTTGCGCCTGCACTTCATGTTACCAATCCGAACGGATCATCCACACCGAGTACCAAGTGTCACGGCTTCGCTCCTGATGCTTGGAAGAGACCTCGAGCGGGAGCCCCGTCAATCAATGAATAGGCGAGGAAATCTGCGGCGGCTCGACCGGAAGCCTCGTCAGTGAGTGCAACGCGGAGAGATCTCAGTCGGAGGCCCCTCCCTATTGCGCCCACGCTTCATGTTAGTAATCCTAGCGGGTCATCCGAATCCTCTAGCTGTCGCCACTTGTTGGCTCAGGCTGCCTGTATCAGGAGGGGGTCTCGAGCGGGAGCCTCGTCAGTGAGTGGACCGCGAGGAAACTTCAGGTGGGGGTCCCCCTTCCTATGGGGCCCGCGCTTCATGTCCGTAGACCGATTGGGTCATCGGACCCTGTAGCTGTCGTCGCGGTTGGGCTCCCGCTGCTTGCATCATGCCGGCAACGGCAGACACGATGATTTTAGTCGCGATGTTGGTTGCGAAGACGGCAATGCGCAAGCAACCGATGGACCAGAGTGGCCCGCACGGCATAATTTGACATGGATCGCACCCCCCGCCCAATCCAACACGCGCCCGGTGAAAAAGGGGTCGATGTGTTTCAATTGGAATGGCACGACATTACATTTAGAGGAGCTGCACGTTGTGCTGTCGATGTGGGCCAACACATGTGGTGCAACCTATGTGGTGCCATCTATGTTGTGCGGCCGATGCTGTCAAACATATGTATGTATACATGATGCGATCAATGTGTTGCAAGCTATGTAGAGATTATTGTTTTATATATAGATAGATAGATATGGTGTGACGCGTGTACTGCAATATACGTGGCGCTGTCTCTGTTCTGTATACAGGAACCACAAACGATGATGAATCGCTCCAGTTCCCAAACTGATGCAAAGAAACCTCCATTATGCAAGCATAATCCGCCGGCCCCCTTGCGGGGCCACCAGGCTGTAGGCCGGGAATGTGCTGCTCCCTGTACCAGTTGCAGCTTCCAGTTTCAACTGTTACAGTTCTGCTTCTTGCTGCTTACTGTTCCTTGTTGACGAACGCGCGAGGGGGGGAGCCCAAACCAGCAGAACTACCACGCCCCGGGAGGATTCTCAGAATTTCGGGCGGGGGGTAAAAATTGACACCCCTCGCGCAGATCCGCAGGGTCAGGGTCCAAAAACACAAGGAATGTGCCACATTTTTGAACTTCAGTGGCACCCCTCACGCAGATCGGCGGGGTCAGGGTCAAAAAACACTTTGGATTTGCTACATTTCTGAAATTCGGTGGCACCCCTAACACAGATCAGCGGGGTCAGGGTCCCAAAACATAGGGGATGCGCCACATTTCTGAAATTCGGTGGCACCCCTCACGCAAATCAGCAGGGTCAGGGTAACCAAACACATTGGGTTTTGCTACATTTCTGAAAATCGGTGGCACTCCTCACGCAGATCGGCGGGGTCAGGGTCCAAAAACAAATTGGATTTGCCACATTTCTGAAATTCGGTGGCACCCCTCACACAGATCGGCGGGGTCAGGGTCCCAAAAGATAGGGGATGTGCCACATTCTTGAAATTCGGTGGCACCCCTCACGCAAATCGGCGGGCTCAGGGTCGAAAAACCCACAGGTCCCGACACTGCTTCACGGCGGCGCCCACACCTCATGATTTAGCTTTTGCATCTCCCATCATCCGAGTCAGGGGGCCGGCGGCATGGGGCGAAGCCCTTACGGATATGTGGTGTATTCTCTGTGACGTGATCTACGCAGTACAGACCTACGATGTGCCATACATGCGGCGTAATCGATGCTATGCAATATTGGTTGAACAATCTATGTGGTGCAATTCACACTGCTGAACTTGAAGTCGTCATCTCCACTGCTCGCACAAACATCCCACCCACCCACCCACAACTTGGTTTGCAAAACCTCTTAAGACCGACTACGACGACACCGACGACAACGACTAGGACGACACCGACGACGTCTCCGACGACTTCGACGACGACAACGACGCCGACGAAGACGACGACGACGACGCCAACGAAGGCGACGACGAGGGAGGAGGAAGGACGACGTCGGCGACAACGACGACAACGACGAGGGAGGAGGGAGGACGGCGACGACGCGAACGACGACGAAGGAGGAAGGACGGCGACGCCGACGACGACAACGACGATGGAGGAGGGAAGACGACGACGAAAACGACGACGACGACGGCGACGAAATAGGAGGGACGACGA